AAATTTGCATTCAATGATACAAGACAAAAAAGTGATTGTTAAATTTGTGGTGACTTCATGCTGTTTGAGATTATGATGTCATGCCATGTATATAGGGTATATCCCACTACAAAAATATTATATACATAATCACATTTTGATTGCTAATATAGCAATTAAAAAGTGATTGTGTGCATAATATCTTTGTATGCAACTCAAAACAAACAATAAATCTACATATGATAGATAATTTAAGCGTTATAACAAATATACACAATTATATTCATTGCCATATCAAAGAGGTGGTAAGAGAAAAATGGAATATAAAAAATATACACTAACAAAATGGATAAAGAAATTCATCACATTTGGAATATTCATTCATCCAAAAAATATTAAAAAATATTCTGAAAGAATAATCTATTTTAATCCCCTTCAAGGAAAAGGGCTACATAAATTTATTTAATTTGAGAAAATATAAGTATGTAAATTTTAAAACTTGATTTGCTGTTTAATTATATAGCTTAAGTCAATAATAATATGTTATACACAACAACACTTGATTTGCTTAGTAGTAGTGTTATTCCTATATATTAATCCAATTAATCAAATGGAAGTTTATAATTAGAAACATGTTTACAATTTATAAATACAAGATTAATCTAAATAAATAACAACCATTAGATAGTAAAGTATTCTAGAATATTTACACACAAGAGAGCTGTTCGTAGAGCAATTAAATTAATTAAATTATAGTTTTATAGTGAATATAATTATCTTTTAGTTGGTTAAATAATTAAGTTGTTATATTAGCAGAAAAAACTTTCTTATACAGCCATTAAAATATAATTATAAACAAAGTTATCTAGTTGAAAAAATTATTATATTTTTACATAGTAAATATTCTTATAATATCATATAGACCATAACATAATCTTTTTTATAAATACACTAAATAAACCTTTTGTAATTAAAATAACTTAATTTTAAAAATTATTTAAAACCAAAAATTTATAAATCAATTTTGTGAACCTACTCCATAGATTTATACAAACTTTATAAATCATCTTTAGAATATACACAAATCTTAGTTTTAGAAATTTATTTTAAGACCCATTTAAATCACTTTTATATAAAAGAAAATTATAAATAAAACCTACTTTTAAAAGAGAGATTCATAATTATAAACCTATGTAAAGGAAAATTGTGTCAATGCTTTTCACAATCTTGATTTGAAAGGATACACTCAAGTTTTCAAACCATGTTACAAGGTATACACACCTCAACCCACAGACTAAAGTAATCAAATACAATGATGATATAATGATACCCCCTATGGAAATGGCCTATGAAGTTGTATATGACCAATTCAATTGAACTAAAAACTTGCATAAATGGCACTATAAAGATGTTGCCAAACATTGACAATGAAGGAGTGAATGGAGGGGATTATTAAACCTGAATCCATGAAGACCATCACTTTAGTAACATTAACAACACAAAAGAAAATGAATATCAACTCCGCACAGCATGCTGTGAAAGAGTGGAGGAGTAATCCTGTTATCCATGAACATCAGAGGAGCCTTTTGAAACTTTAGATACATCCATTAGTTTTCCAATTTTTCAACAGGAAACAATTTTACATCTTCACCACCCGGTGCAACTGTGTACACGAGCACGACCACCACCGCAACCTTGTTCTTGTGTTGCTAAACTGGCTGGAGGGACCTCCATCCGTATGGTAGACTTGCCAAGTGCAAGCTGGGGGAAGGAAGAAGTGCTGCATGGAACATGTACTGCGAAATGCATCTCCTAATAACATCATGCCCACCACAAACAAAATAAAACAACTCCAACTTGATAGACTCCAACGTATTGGGATCCACGTCTATGTGATTATTAGGTGTTGCTACAAAGGTCTTAATTTACAAACCATTCAATAGGCTAGTACTAATCTTCTTCAAGTAGCTCCAAGTTGAGTTGCATCACCGCTTCTTCCACTGCCTGGATCATTGCTCCAGGGAAAACATCCGGCTGCAGCTCTCGGAGTAAGATATGGAGCCGGCCCGCTTTCGAAGTCGTTGTCGTTCCGAACTTGAGAGCATAGAAAGAGAGCGCCAGAGACAACACGTCGTCCTCCTCCGCATACGGCAACATATCAGAAGGAGACTGGTACCCGACAGTTCCCACCATCTCGCTGTAAGCACGGCTCTCGCCTTTGAAGCACGACACATCGTAGTCGTTTATCTTGAGCACGTTGCCCGGAAACACGACCAGGTTGTCTGGCTTCACGTCCCGGTGAAGAACACCCTTGGAATGGAGATGCTTGAGCCCCCGGTACGCCTGATTCCACATATCATCCATCGCTTCCATGTCGGCAATGTGCTCCCGACCCAAAGGCTGGCCATAGCCCTCGAGCTCCAGAAAGCCAAACACGTCATTGTTCTCCCCAATGCTCACCATCCCCCAGTTCACAAGCCTCCGCACGTTGGAGTGGCCGTCGGATGCTGCATGGATGCGTCGCTCCATCTCAGCACTCGATGGCGAGCAGATCTTGAGGACATTGAACGCCGATCGTCGGAGCACCACAAGAGACTTCTTGCCATAAGCCACCGGCGTCAGATCTGAGAGCGGGATATCAGTGCTTGGTCCGACGAAACGAACACTCAGCACCGGTAGATCGTACATTCGCTGCAGTTCCTCCGCATAGGAGACCAACGTACAGAATCCAGGCATCGGTTTAGGAGGTAGAACGTCCTTCAAGCTGATGCTCTCCAGCTGGTCTCATTTAGCCACGAAAGCTTCATCAGCACAAAATCCGGACTGAAGTCGGCCAGCTGCAGAGGCAAAGGAAATCCCGGCGTCACCTGAACCTTATCCGTCTCTCGCAGGTACTTGACAATCCAGAACCTGTCCATGCGGCAAAACAGGCACCCCAGACGAGCCGTCTCATCCGTTCCCTCGATTCCCGTTTTCAGATAGTCTGCTTCCTGCTTTATCAGCGTAGCATTGGCCACCATACCCGTCTCATCCTTATCAGTTGCATAGAAAACCTTCGTTTTCACTTCCGACACAACGCTTGGCTTGCCGCATATAAAGCCCTGCAAGCCGTGCCCACCGAAATTCAAGCCTTTCTGACCAAACGAAGCAGCTCGTAAGAAGGCCAAGACGCCGGGATAATAGGCGCTCTCCTTTGGCTTCACCTTGGCAAGCCTGAGCTCTCTCAGGCTTGTAAGGTCTACCTTGGCGGCCTCGCGCTCGAGCAAAGCTAGCCACTGTAGAGCCACGAGCATGGTACTCGACCGGCCGCCCAGTAGGATATCCGGCTCCACGACCATGGGCTCGTATACTTGGTAATCCTTCACCCTCTTCGTCTGACTCCTTGCGACTGTCACAGCGGTGCTTTCGTCCCTGCGTCGCTTGCCTGATCACCATCGCCAAGAATGAGCGGAGACCAAGAGCAAAAGACCATTTACTTTACCTTCGGATCCACGCATGAAGCGCAAAGCTCACGGGAAGTGGGCCGTCTGGTAAGTACTCCGGATTGTACCATCCATCGCCGGGAACGAGGACCGAATCCACAGAAGGCAGTTCTTCCTGCAGCCATCCCCGAAGGCCGGCCACATCGGGCAGAGCGCTGGGAACTGGCCTACCTCTCCTCCCCTTGTGCCGCAGCACTCCTTCGTCTAGTTCCGCTTCGCCTGTGGGATGGATGTACAAAACGCGCTGCGCTCGCAGAAACGCCATCCTTGTTCTCCGTATATACTTTTTACGCTCAGAGATAAACTGGACGCTGACCCTAGCCCTAACTTTTCTTGCTCTGGACGAGGACGTACATTTCTTTTCTCTACATCTTGGACTGTTTTTCTCCTCTGATTTTTCAAAGCAAGACGATGAAGATCTTTGAGGTGACGTTTCCAATACTGCAAAGCAGCTGGTCTTCCGTGAGACACAGTTTGTAAAGGCTGTTGGAGATTTCCACCAAGAAGAAAAATTAGTACGTTTCTGTTGCAAACCAATCCCATCAGGGTGGAGGTGAGGAGCATGCACAATCTCTGTTCTAAGCAGCGTGTGCTCGTCCTTCATCCATGAGATCATGCCAAAACACAATGCTAGCGATGTTGAGCTTGTCGAGCAAGTGACAAGGGTTGTCAAGGCCTCGAGGAAATATGATCTCTATTGGAATGCATACGGCGTTTTGATTGGGAGATGTTGAGAGGACATATGACCCAGGAGACTTTTCTTTCAGAGGAGGCAAGAAATCCCCAGGGGCACAAGCTGGAAACTTCCTGGTGCTGGATATAGGACCGGATAGCAACGAGGAATCCTGCGGGTTCAAGAGCAATGAATAGAAACTTCAAAGGTGGGAAAGAAGTTGCGGTAGCCGCGGTTGCTGCTGTGATTGCTGCTGCTGCTGCTCCTCCTCAAAGTATCTCCTTATGTCTTGGAGTGTCCGCGAGCACTCGTTCACCTGCGGCACCACATATATCATCTCCAACAGAGAGAAGCGAAAAACACGAAAGCTTACGATTTCGGTGGATCCCAGCTCCACAACTCCGTTTCGGGTGGGAACACAGACGATTGTCTGCAGCGTGGAGTACGTGAGAGATCTATACAACATGGCCAGTTCAACTTTTGGTTACCTGAATTCCTGCGCTCTGGGCACAAGCACAGAGGGGAGGAGTGAAGTCAGCACGCAATCTTGGAGCACAGGTGATGAAAACAAAGGAAAAAGAATACGTTACCTTGGCAAGCTCCAGTCGCGCACAGTGAAAGTTAATGGGCTTGACAGTGTCGCAAATCCATATGTGCTGCCCAAACTGGAACGCCCGCCCTGGAATGCTGCGAGTTCTCCTGGAGCTTATCAGCCTTGGAACAAGACAAGAAGCGTGTTTCTACGTACCCTTCACCGCAGGCGAAATTCCACGACTTGGAGAGGAGATAGAACGACTCCTGGTCGGTGACATGGTCCACCTCTCGATAATCCTCCTCGGGATGGCACAGGTCGTGGAGCTCGCACAAGGCGGACCTTGCGCCTGAGAATTTGGTCGGCATCGAACTGCTTGGCCTCGTTCCGCTGGGTACTCTTCTCGTTGGTGGTGGAGAAGTAGCCGTCTTCCCAGCCCAGAATCCTGAAGTGAAGTGAGCGCCTTTTAGAACCATGGCAGATGATGCTAGGTGATGCTACGAGAGAGAGAGAGAGAGAGAGAGCTTACATCTGGCCGTCGGCGCTGGAGAGCTGCCAGAAGATTGCATACGTCCAGGAGCAGAGGGACGAGTTGTCGACGAGCAAGGTGAGCTTGTGCTGCAGCGCCATGTCCGCAAACGTGCTCTGGATGGCCCCCCCTCCGCCCACCTCTTCCTGGAACGGATTGAAAGGATCCATTCCCCCTCTCCCCCTCTCCCTCTCCTTCTCCCTCTTGCTACAGGAAGAACACACAAATCTCTGGCAACATCCCCCAGGTCTAGCAGCTCCCGGAAGGGTAATCAATCTTGCGCTGCCTGGACCCCCTCTCTTAACGGGCTGTGGCTCGCCCGTTAACTTGGCAGCCGTCGGATGATGTCAGATTCTCTGCGAGAAGGCTGACAACTGCCAGGTTCGCAAGAACCTAGCTTCCTGGAGAAACCTCTCATCCTCGAATCACGTTATTCCACGTGTCCGTTAACGGAGCTCGTAAACCCTAAACCGTTCCCCGGGCACGGTCCACCAGGCTAACGCCTGGCTCGCCCGTTCTGGGCGGGAACGTGCTCGCCCTACCTGGGAACTCCTTTTGGGCACACAAAGAAGGAGCTCTTCTCACTTGGTTGCGATGAGAGAAGCGAAAAAACAAGCGCGTGCTGCGAAAGGAGTGGAGGTTGCGCGTCCATATAGTGGTTGAATAAAAATTAGTGTATGTTAATTTGCCTTTTATTCTTTAATTTTACTTTTCTAAAATTTCTTCAATGGCTGATTTAAACCCTGGGTTTTAACATGACTTTAGAGAAGATTGATCTTAATCAATGTCTTACTAAAGATTCCTTTCTGAGTTGTTTTTTGCCAACATGACTCTAACTAGTTTTTCTCCATTCGAGATGCTACTTTTAATATTACTTTATAATAGTTTGGTTTGGGTAAGCAAATTTGTGAGGTACTGGATATACCTAGAATATATTTAAATATTCTAGAATTCTTTACTATCCAATGGTTGTTATTTATTTAGATTAATCTTGTATTTATAAGATGTAAATATGTTTATAATTATAAACTTCCATTTGATTAATTTGATTAATAAATAGGAATAACACTACTACTAAGCAAATCAAGTGTTGCTATTAATATTATTATTGCATGAACTCAAATTAAATAGATTTATGTAGCCGTTTTCCTTGAAGGGCAATAAAATAGATTATTCTTTCAGAATATTTTTTTCTTTTCTAAAGGATGAATGAGCATTCCAAATGTGATGAATTTCTCTACCCATTTTGTTAGTGTATATTTTTATATTCCATTTTTCTCTTACCACCTCTTTGGTATGGCAATGAATATAATTGTGTATATTTTTTATAATGCTTACATTATTTATCATATGCAAATTCTTTTTTTGTTTTGAGTTGCATACAAAAATATTATGTACACAATCACTTTTCAAGTGCTATATTAACAATCAAAATGTGATTATATGTATAATATTTTTATCATGGGATATGCCCTATATACATGGTGTGATATCCTATGCAAAACTGATCTTAGACAACATGAGGTCATTATAGATTAATAATCATTTTTTTGTCCTGTATCATTGCATGTAAATTTGTGATCTGCTGATTATGATTATCTCTTTACTCTTATTTCATGCAACTATGGCTCATTTCTTATAATTTAGAAGCGTAATTTGATTGTAGCATTCCCTCGGTCCTCACATCATGTGTTGCAAGAAAAGCATTTAAACCACAATTACACTCTTGAGAGGATATACCCCTTCCTAGCCTCCTAACCTATAGTATTGAGATATTAGTGCAATGTACATTTGTGTAAGTTTTTGAATAGGAAATCATCCAACCCAATATTATTCAAACCCAAATATCTGAAAATTCTTAATTAATTAAAAAACAATTTGCCCTTACCATCTATATTTGAATTCTTATAGATTGAATTGTTTTAAATATCAAACCCAAAGTGTAAACCCTTCTAACATATTAAAAAATTTGACATTGAGTCAAATGTAGTGTAGAAAATTGTATATGTGACACTAACTTAGAAAGGCACCATTACATGCCCATACATAAAAAAAGTTGTGTTTTAAAGTATAATTTTGTGAGTCACACATGTATATTACAATAATTTAAACACATATATTTTGCAATGTTTTGCCAAGTTGCCCACCTAAGGTACACTTCCCCTTATATTACCAAGTGACTCACATGTTTTATGTGAGGATAATTAAGGTAAGCTTAAGGAAGAACCATCCCCACTATCCAACAAGAGCCACTTGATGGTCAAGGACAAGAAAAGAACTGGCGTCCTTTGTGCCAGTGTTAAAGCTGACATATAGCACGTGGTTATGTACAATTTTTACAGCAAGCATACACGTAGCTCAATATAATTGGTTGCATGCAGCAGCACATTATAAATATAATCAGCCCTAGAATATATAAACTATAGGCTTCCAAGTTTCCTGGCGCTCATTCAATTGGTTGTATCCAGTCTCATGCCAATGGCTCTCCGCTTTACTCTTTTTCTTGCTGTAGCATGCACCATGGCAATGTTTATGGCATCTGCTCGTCCTGCTAATATCGGTGAGTGTGAGATGTGGCTCCGGTTTCTTGGTCACTGACATTCCCTGTGCTGCAGGAGAAGAGGTTTACGACATAACTCGGCAGAACGAGGTAGCTGGCTTCGCTGAAGATCATCCTGTTAACACTGGTGAGTGTGAGGTTTCATTGGCTCTTTTGGTCACTAAGATTCTGTGTGATGCAGAAGATGATCATGGGGATCCAGCTCTCACCTTGAAGAGTTGTGCCGGCAAGGGCCACAGCTGTGCACCGTTCTATGTTCCAGAGGGAGTACAGTGCTGTGCGGGGCTCCACTGCGTGGCAGTCATCTTTGGTGTTGGTGGATTCTGTGCATGATTGACTCTATGTTTCTTTGCCTACATCGCAAAGGTTATAATAAGGTTTCTATTTCCTCCCTAGAATGTCGTGAGGAAAGATTGATAGAAGTTCGTGGCTACCGACTACTCAACGCTTAATCCCATCTATTAACAATGTAGAGCTCCCTGCTGCCATCGCCATGAAGCAGAGTCTGACGGACAAGAAGAGGACGCCAACCCGCTCAAGAACTTCAATGCGATGGTGAAGCTGAACCACTGCGAGGACTATGATGTTTTTGTCTTGTCTAAACTTTGCGGTCGGTATTGTGTTGTGTCCTGGAGGCGATAGTTTTGAGAGAGCTCTGATTATGGCAGTCCAGGAGACACCATCTCGATCCTCAGGGGCTGCTGGGGGCATTCGAAGCGACGGCCATCAAACACGAGCTTCGCTTCGTCTCGGGGAGCTCTCCGAACTGGGACAAGGAGTGGTGGAGCCACGTCCAGTAGCTCCTCCCCCGCTCGGGCATGGAATTGCCTGGTTGTCCTCAGAAACGGACATCTTTCAAGTGTTCTTAAATAACTAGTATTTCCAATTTGAGAAAGGATAAAATCTATTTTTAATGCAAAAGTGAAAGGCATTGTGACGCATGAACTACCTGTTTAGGACTTTTGTGTCTTTTATGTCGATATTAAGCTACGTGTATGCTTGCTGTAAAGCTCTGTGCATTTAAAAGAAATTGTCCGATTCCTAAATCTGAGACTATTTAAACACTAATAGAATATATTATGTTATTTGAAAGTGAAATATTGTGTGAGGAATGACATTAGGGCATAGTGGGGTAAAGAGAATAATTTTTTTTACCATTTTTGAAAAGCGTAGAAATTTTTTTTTAAGGGCTAACCTTCAAAACAAAGAAACTTTTAAAATGCAAAAGCTTAAGGATTTTGAAAGTTCTTCTCTTGTCATTGACTGTCAAGTGGCTTTTGTTGGGTAGTAGGGATGGTTCTTAACCTTACTTTAGTTATCCTTACATAAAATGTGTGAGTCACTTGGTAATATGAGGGGAAGTGTACCTTAAGTGGGCAGCTTGCCAAAACATTGCAAAATATATGAAGAAAACAAATACATGTGTGTTTAAATTATTATAATACACATGTGTGACTCACAAAATTATACTTTAAAACACAACTTTTTTTTATGTATGGGCATTCAATGGTGCTTTTTTAAATTAGTACCATATATACAACTTTCTACACTACATTTGAATCAACGTTAATTTTTTTAATATGTCAGAAGGGTTTAGAGTTTGGGTTAGGGCTTGTAATTATATTTTGAATGCCTTTTTGGATGTTGGAGGACAAACTACTGAATAAAGGATCTTGCCTCCTTGGAGTGGATTAATTGTAAGTAACAAAGAAAAAAAATAGATTTATAAGAATTCAAATATAGAGGGTAAAGGCAATCTTTCTTTAATTAGTTAAAAATATTGGGATATTTGGGTTTGAATTATTGGGTTGGGTGATCTCCCAGAAAATGAAAATTCAAAACCTTACACCAATGTACATTGCACTGATATCTCATTTTTATAAGTTAGGAGGCTAGGAAAGGGTGTATCACCTCAAGAGTGTTATTGTGGTTTAAATGCTTTTCTTGCAACATATGATGTGGGGACCAAGGGAATGCTACAATAAAACTATGCTTCTAAACTATAAGAAATGAGCCACAGTTGTGTGCAATAAGAGTAAAGAGATTATCACAATCAAGAGATTATAAATCTGCATTCAATGATACAAAACAAAAAAGTGATTGTTAAATTTGTGGTGACCTCATGTTGTTTGAGATTAGTTTTGCATAGGATGTCATGCCATGTATATAGGGTATATCCCATGACAAAAATATTATATACATAATCACATTTTGATTGCTAATATAGCAATTGAAAAGTGATTGTGTGCATAATATTTTTGTATGCAACTCAAAAAAAAACAATAAATCTATATATGATAAATAATTTAAGCATTATAACAAATATACACAATTATATTCATTGCCATACCAAAGATGGTAAGAGAAAAATGGAATATAAAAATATACACTAACAAAATGGATAGAGGAATTCATCACGTTTGGAATATTCATTCATCCAAAAAATATTATAAAATATTCTAAAATAATAATCTATTTTAATCCCCTTCAAGGAAAAGGGCTACATAAATTTATTTAATTTGAGAAAATATAAGTATGTAAATTTTAAAACTTGATTTGCTGTTTAATTATATAGCTTAAGTCAATTCATGCAATAATAATATGTTATACGCAACAACACTTGATTTGCTTAGTAGTATATATTAATCCAATTAATCAAATGGAAGTTTATAATTATAAACATGTTTACAATTTATAAATATAAATTAATCTAAATAAATAACAACCATTAGATAGTAAAGTATTCTAGAATATTTACACACAAGAGAGCTGTTTGTAGAGCATTTCATATCAAAGCCTATCGTGAGACCCCGTGGGGCGGTCAGAAATGAGATCCAAGTCCTGCTCGGCAACACGACC